TGATTACTGTATTTTTTGGAGTATAAGACATACCTTTCTCTCTCAAAAAAGAGGCTGAAAATCTGGGTACGTCTTATACACTGAATACAGCATTTGTTGCCTCCAAAAATCCCATCCCCTTCACCCGTTTCACCAAAATGGCCACGCAGAGGCTTTCAGAGTGCTCCTGGGGGCTGAAGGGGCAAAAACCACCCTGTTTTTCGCTCATTTTTGCCCTCCCCAGCCACCAGGAGTACTCTATAAGCCTCCTAAAGGCTATGCATGGCTATTTTGGTGAAGGGGATGGGGTTTCAGGAGGCAAAAAATGCTGTATTCAGTGTATAAGACGTACCCAGATTTTCAGCCTCTTTTTTGAGGGAAAAAGGTGTGTCTTATACTCCAAAAAATACAGTAATAAAACATAACCATAAATGATAGGTAATGTAAAATGGTAACTATTTAGAGGTGAAATAGATTGGAAAACAAGCATTTTCTTAATTGAATGTATGACTCAATTTATGTTCTTATTTATCCATATATAAATGTAGCTGCAGTCTTTTAGCTCAGTTCACTATATATTTCCATATATACCAGAATGATGTTAGTTTAACATAATTATTTTTAAAAATACATTTATATATTTACTTATAATGTAAATACACAGTTGAAAAGATGACTTTCTTAAGTCTATTTTATGAGAAAGCAGAGGAGTAAATAAGGAGTAATACATTATTACAAAATGGAAGGGAGGAATAGATTTTGACACCACACAGCAGATAACACAACTAAAAAGTCACAGATTCTTTGTTTTGCTTGTAGTTCTGGATTTTAAGGTTTAGGGAGCCTTCTGTGTTGAAACACTCTTATACGTTTGAGTCCAAGTACAGTGACATGATCCTGACTTTTTAAAATAATACAATTTTTAAACAAATATTTTAGGGGATAATGAAATATTATAAATCTTAATTGTTTGCATGTCTACTATTAATTTAGAAATTACTCCATGTACATATATGCATGCTGAACACAGAATTAATGCCTTATTATTATTACTAAGTCTGAGAAATGAGCATTTGCAGGTGGAAGAACAGTGTAAATAAAGCTATTTTGTCATATGGCTTGGCTGATTGACTTGTTTAAATAAGAATTGCTTGAACCCAAGTGAATAAACAATGGGATTTGCTTGTGTGACTTTCTTATTTAACAACAATAGCGAGCACGAGCGCCATTATAAACCTATGTGCCATATTAGAGAGACAAATGATACTCACGTGCTGTTACTGAGAGCAATTAACTGTTTTGTAACTATATATGTGGGGAAGCCAAATTCAGAGATACAACCTTTAGGACCACCACACCAAATTTGATAATTATATTTACGTTGATTCTCTATCTGGGAGGGGGGGGGGAGAATAAAAAAAATATTGTTACATAAAATATAGCATTTTCTGATTAAAAAAAAACATTGTATCATGACTTTAGTGGTACAGGAAGCCTGATAAAAACAATTAAAGTGACACATAAATTGAATTTGCTAGATTCACCAGCTTCCATCTGTTTCTCATCCCTATCCCCATTTTCAATCTTTTGCAGAAACATTACATAAACAGTAAATAGATGCTAACATCTGTATTTGGATACCTGCAGTCAGCATGCCTTGGGACATCACTAGTTCATATACTAAAAATTGAATGTCATGTATTTAATGGAAAAGATAAAGAATTAGATCCAAAGTTATCCTGGCTAAAGGTAAAGGTAAAGTTCCCCTCGCACATATATGCAAGTCATTCCCAATTCTAGGGGGCAGTGCTCATCTCTGTTTCAAAGCCGAAGAGCCAGCGTTGTCCGAAGATGTCTCTGTGATTATGTGGCCAGCATGACTAACCGCCGAAGGTGCACGGAATGCTGTTACCTTCCCACCAAAGGTGGTTCCTATTTTTCTACTTGCATTTTTACATGCTTTTGAACTGCTAGGTTGGCAGAAGCTGGG